GGGGGAGAACGGCTGTGTGGTGTTTAGCTGCCTGCCGGGTTAAACTACAACCCAGGGCCACCCCAAATCCCTTCTGGGAAGGGGAGGAGAGGGGGATCAGGGACATGGCACTGCTCCTGCTCCCCTCTCACCCATTAGACAAAAATCCCTTCCTTCAGGCAGCCCCTGACAGACGGCCTTTGCCCTCCTTGGGAAGTGCGGAATTGAACCTGCTTTTTAAATCCGGGTTAGGTGAGGCGGCGATGCAGGGAGCTGCGGAGTGCACGGAGGTGGATTTCCACCTCTGTTGCTGCTGGTTGGGACCCTGCCAGAGGGGTTTCACAGCCCGCCGTGGGTGCGCACAGCCTTGCACGGGGCCACGGGGCGGCCAGATCCGGAGTTCAGGCACGTGCAGAGAAGGGGTGAGCCAGGATCGCCCTGGTTTCAGTGGCCTCCCACGGCAGTCCTCCGTGGGATGGTGGTGGGGCATTTTGCAAGGTTGCAATCCCCCGAGCGATGCGTGGGGTGGGCAAGGGGCACCAAGCATTAAAGCCACAGGGTCGCAGCTCAGCGTGTCCCCACTGCTGCATAATCAGTATTGGGGGTCCTCGAACCCGTTGGGGTGGCCCCACCTGTCTGAATTGCAGGAGTCTCTGCCTGGGCCATTGTGCGGCTCTTGGGGTCCCCCCCAGCGGGGCAAGAAACCAGAGAGAAAAGCAGTAAATGGAGCCTGGAAACGCGCCAAACACAGGCGCCCTGCAAGGGAGATTGGAGGGAAAATGATGCCGAAAGAAACCACCTTGGGGCACAGCCAACAGCCTGGCTGCGGCACTGCCTGGGCGGAGTTAAAATCTTGCCGAAGCCGCTCTGCATTCCTGCTTTTCTGTGTGCTTTGCGCTGTGGCTGGCCTGCCTGTGCCAGCCCTGCTCCACCGCTGGAGCTCCCAGGAGGTCCCACCTGAGTCTTGTCTTGGGGTGAATTATTCTCATTCATCACTGTCTTCTAAACCCGAGTAGACTACTGATGAAACCAGGCTGGCTTGTATCCAAGTAATTGTTCACCAGCTGCAGGATCAGACACTGCCAGAATTTCTTATCCTGCAGCATGAGAACAGACTCGGGATCATACTTTAAGTCTTGCTGCATGGTACCCCATCACCCCAGGGTCTATTCCTGCGTCTCAGTCCCTCACACTCTCTGAACTTCTCAGTCACCATTTTTCCCGCTTCCTTAACCTTTCTCAACCCATCCATAGCCTGGGGGAGACCTGGAGGATCTGGTGGGCTGCCTGTTGCTGTTCACGCTGGATTGCGGTGGGGGAAGGTAGCTCCTCTTTATGCCAGGATACCTGGGGCTTGGCACGTGCACTGAGCTGCAAACAGGACTCAGTAGGGAAGCTATGAAGTTCCTGCAGCCCCCCTGGATGGGGGGCCCTGGGCAAGGAAGGAGTTTTGGGGCAGTGTCACCTAGTATCTGGATCAGGTACTGGGGTGACATGAACTCGGAGCTTTTGCTTTACTGCAGGCCCAGCGGTGGTTGTGTGACATGCTGCCAAGTGCTGGTGTCTATTACTTCCCATGGGAGATCAACAGCTCAGTCCCAGAGGGGGAGGCGCTGAGGACGTTTGGCAGGTGAGATGGATGCCCTGGTCTCCTTGCAGGCCAGGCCTTTCCGTCACTGGCTGACCCCCCTCCCTTTGTTTGTAATTGTTGTATCTCTGCACCGCTGAGCTTCCCAAACCGATCGTTCCCAGGTTATGCTTCTATGACCTGGCCCGATCCAAAGCTGTTCTCACCGCTCAGCACAGCTCAGCTCAGTACCAGGTCTGTGTCGACACCAAGTTTGTGGAGCCTTTCCAAGCCCAGCTGGGGTCTCGCTACATGGTCCTGGGAGAGGCTGAACAGAGGGAAGGTAAATGCTCCAGGAACCAGTGCCCTTTGCTGCTGTTGATGGTTCATCAGCTCCTTCGTGGCTCCCTGGGTGCACGGTGAGACACACTGTCACAGAGGTTGGCATTGGCCAAGGCAGGCTCATCTTGTGCGGCTGCCTCCGGTCACACGAGCGTGTGATTCAGGGCAGGAGCAGCCTGTCTCTCCCTGTTGACCATGAGAAGAGCCACCCTTATCTTGGTGAAAATCTGGTGCTCTGGCACAGATTTCCTTGGAAACAAGAAGCACCTCAGCAGCATCGCTGAGCTTGTGAAACCTGTGCTAAAGCCTTCTGGCATCATTGCCAGCCACCACATTGTCTTCACTCCAAATGTGGCTGATTGCAGCAATACCTCATTGCGAGCTGGCTGGGTTGGTCTTTGCCATCCTTGAAAGGCTCTAATTATATCCCTGCCCTCAGACATGGGGCGTGAGGAATGCAGGCAGGCTCTGTCACGCGGGGCACCCTGTTGTCCTTTCCTGGGGTGCCCTGAGCGTTACTCCAGCTGCACGGCGCTTTGCGTGGGCAGTTGATCTGGGCTGGGCCGCAGGGTTGTGAAGCAAATCCCAAGTGTTGTCTTGGCCACACCTGATAACAAGCATTCCCATTCGTGCCATTGAAATCCTCGGTGGCATGTGGAAAGCCACACTGCACGTGGCACCTAGTGAGTTACCTGCTAAGCCACTGCTGCAAAATTCCTTTAGAAAGACGTGTTATTTTGGTCATCACAGCTTAGGAGTGAGTTGGCCCCATTTTGCAGGGGTGGAAGGGGAGCAGGCTGAGATGGTGGCTGGGTCACCAAGGTTTGGCCCCTTTTGTACAGCTCTGTGTTACCGTTTGAATGCCACCGATGAACTGTTGGTTATAGTCAGCACTGAGCCTCTTCTAAGCCCAGCTCTGTTCTGTCCTCTTCTTGTCTGCACAGAGGCACTCAGAAACGAGCTTAGACCCATCCCTGATGCTCTTTAGACAGGGAAAACCAAACTTAAGCCATGAAGTAGACAGATGCTGCGTGGCAGGCACTGGCACCGACATGGCCTGGGCTCAGCGTTCCCCAATGCAAGGAGAGCGCAGTGTCAGTCACCAGCATTTTGTAGCCAACAGGGCAGAGGGAAAGCACATCACTGAATTAACCTGCTCCCAGGCGTGCTGCTCGTGTCGGTGGAGGCACACGGCCGGTCTGGTCTCCTGCAGGTTCTCAGGCTATGGTTATTTGGCCAGCTGGAGCCATATGCTGCCTGAGGGAACCTCTCTGTTTGCCTCCGCACTGCTCCGTCTGTTTTTCTTTCTACAGAAACTTCCTGTTTATATTCCCAGGTGAGGGTCCCGTGGTAAAGGCGCGAATATTGACCTGCGTGGAAGGGATGAATGTGCCCTTACTGGAACAAGCCATACAGGAGCAGAGGAAATACTTCAATGAGAGGCGGGAGCGGATGGGAAACAGCACGTCCTGACAGCAGCTCTGGGACCAGCCATACACTGGTCCTTGCACTGCAATTTGCAACAAATATGTTAAAAGTAAATTTAGAAGGTGGGTTTTCAACATAATGCTTTTTGCCGTGGCAAATAGCAAAGTCAAGTCACTAAGCAGGGAAACACTTGAAGACTGTGTCAGTATGTGAGTGTGGGTTGTCCGTTCGTGCCAGGTGTCACCACTGAAAACAGCTCTGGGAAGCAGGTTTGTTTGTTTAAAAGGGTGGTTAAGGAAATGGAGCGCTTGAGTTATACTGGTCCTTTTGTAATGCAAGGCTTGGAGATGTCGGAAAAAGAAGTCTCCGAATCTTGAGTTAAACAGCTCACACCCACATGCACTGCCGAAGCGCAGCGGGTTACCGGGCTGTTGGCACATTGGAGGTAAAGGACATTGCACAAAGTTCGTTAGCTCTGTGTGGCTGCGGGTCTGTGAGTGCATGTGTTTGGTTACCGTGACTCAGCTGCCACACAGGAGCGTTCCTGGCAAAACACTCAGGTATCTGGACTGACCAACAAAGAAACAAGAAGAACAAAGCGTCACTATTTTCAGTAGCACCTGCCTCTTCAGGTTTTCAGGAGCTGGTGTCCAAGGGGGGAGATTGACTTTAGCTCTAAAATAAATATTTGCAGTGCCCTGAGAACCACCACTTCACTTTCTTCCTTGACACAACTAAGTTTAGGGGACCTTAAATCACTATTTTTTTGAAGCATCTAAAGGTTTTGATTGATATTTTCCTAAATAAAGATGAAAAGAGAAGACAGCCTGTCTTTTATTGATTAAAAACCTCTTCCTAGCTAAGGCAAATGAATTAGGCCCTGCAGAAACCCCATGGATGATGTAAGAAAATTTAGTGATGTGTAATTTTCCTCCTTCTCCTAAGTACTGGGTGTGTAAGGAAGTGCTTGGCTTTGAAAAAGTTGCAAGAAGAGGAGATGAAGTTACATCAGAGCCACTCTGGTTTAAGAACATGGTGCCAGGCCCACCCAGCAGAATTAAACCATCAACAGAAAGACAGAAAATCACTAATGATGTGAGATGAGAATAAAATGTTAGTGCAAGACAAAGACTCTCCTGTGCTACAGGAATCCCCGGACCTGGAGTGAGCTAGGACTGTGGTCTGCAAGGGGAATTCAGCCACCTGCAGCCTCTTCTGCTTTTTGCTCAGATTCTCTGGTGAAATGTTCAGAAAATAAGGACTGAAGCTGTACAATGCACAGCAGCAGATCAAAATGCAACAGGTATTGGCAAAGTCCCCTGTTATCAGCAGGCTTGATTCAAGGGCCTGAGATGGCTCAGTAATTACAGTGCTTGCTATGATCTTTAATCATAGTTTAGCCTGTTTTTCTTCACGCAGTTACAGAGATCCAAAAGCCCTCCCTCAGCACGCTCTCTGTTCAGCCCAAGTCCAAAAACATGATCTCAAGAGGCAAGATTTTAACCTGGTTTTGTAAGGGGCAATGATGAGTCTGTCATGATGTATTTATGTTTACACCTCATCTCCTGCCTGCTCTCCTACCTTCCTCCTTGTGCTTAAATATGTTTTTCTTCACGCAGTTACAGAGATTCAAAAGCCCTCCCTCAGCACGCTCTCTGTTCAGCCCAAGTCCAAAAACATGATCTCAAGAGGCAAGATTTTAACCTGGTTTTGTAAGGGGCAATGATGAGTCTGTCATGATGTATTTATGTTTACACCTCATCTCCTGCCTGCTCTCCTACCTTCCTCCTTGTGCTTAAATTTTATCCAAATGGCCAGGTTTGCCAGAGTGTTGGGAATATCTAAGATGCCAGGACTGGGAATATCCAAGATACCAGGACTGGGAATACCCAAAATACCAGGTTCCTACAAGTGTTATGAAAAAAAACCCCACAAACCCAACCAGCCAGGAAGAGGAGAGCAAATTTGGCAATGACTCCGGATGGAGACGTGAGGGCAAACTCAACTTCACAAGCCACCGGAGAACCCACACAGGAGTTTGCCGTGGCCATGTGGATCCCTCTTCAGCTACAGAGCAACCACGCTTTGGTTCTTTCAAACTGGCAAAATCAGGATCAATTTAAAAAAGATTTTGAGCTGGTGGCTCCGCAATGGGCTAAATTAGTCCTTTTTAGGTCACCTAAAAGTTGGGGTCTGCACTGTGGACCCAACGCAGCCAGTGAGCTGCCATGTTCTGCTGTGCCCACCCAGAGACATGGAGCCCACAGGCCTTCCAGAAGACAGTCGCTGTGGCTCTACCTTTCCTGGTGCCACGATGCATAATATTTTTTTTAATCTTGTCTTCTGTCAGCTGTCAAGTCAATGATTAATCCCCCGCCAAGGACATCTTCCAAAAGGCTGACCAAGTGGCGCAGCCCACGGTGGGGAGGTTCAAGGGACAATTGCACAAGACAAAAAAAACCCCAAAACCAACACCAACCCACTCCCCCCCAAAAAAAAGACATTTCTGCTCTGTGTTTGACCTGAGCGTGTCCCAGAGAACCCTAATTACGCACCACATCCCCTTGATGCCAGGCACTGTACAAACGGAGCTGCAGAGCTTCCCTCGGCCCTGTGCGGTCTCTGCTGCCTTTCCCGCAGGCCCAAAGCACCTCTTTACATCCATTTTGCTCGATTTTTGCTTTAGCCAACACACCCCACAATCTTAGTCGCAAGCAACCGGTCCCAGGCAGTTGGTGCACAGTGTGTTTGGCTCTTTGGGTCTGCCCGAAGACACCCCAGACACCTGCCAGCATGTCCAGGCAGCCCTGCCTGCCTGCGGCTGCCCCAGTTCAAGGCAGGTCCCTGTGCTGGGGGAGCAGCAAGGGGGGGGCCCAGACTGCAAAAGCAGCTCAGGGGACACACAGGGAGAGCAAACACCTTCTGCACGTTTGGGGTTTTTTTCCCTGTATGTGTGTATGTTGTAGGATTCCTTTTCTTTTAGAATAATTACACTATTAAGGCTGCTGTAATTAGAGTGAATTATAGGTTGCCTTACAAAGAGCAATGAGTTCCTGGCTACCTACTTCTTTTTTTTTTTCCCCCCCTTCTTTTTTTTCCCCTAAGAAAGCAGTGCCAGCTGCCCCCACTGCCAAGGCTGAGGCAGCGCCATGCCATGGACGCCTTCCAGGAGGTGTTTCAGAAAGTGGAGAAGATTGGGGAGGGCACCTACGGTGTGGTGTACAAGGCTCGCAACAAGCGCACGGGGCAGCTGGTGGCCCTCAAGAAGATCCGCTTGGACTCGCTAAGCAGTGCCAGCTGCCCCCACTGCCATCACAAGGCTGAGGCAGCGCCATGGACGCCTTCCAGGAGGTGTTTCAGAAAGTGGAGAAGATTGGGGAGGGCACCTACGGTGTGGTGTACAAGGCTCGCAACAAGCGCACGGGGCAGCTGGTGGCCCTCAAGAAGATCCGCTTGGACTCGTGAGTGGGGCAAAACCCCGGACCCGGGGGCTGCCATGGCTCGGCCCAGCCCAGTGCCTACCTGGACCGCCATGGCACCAGGCCGGCTGCCTCCTCTGCACCCCGGGCA